TGCAATCGTCAGGCCACATATTCGTTTATATATATATATATATATATATATATATATACATACACACACACACACACAGAATAGTTACTTAACTGTAATTTTCCCCCCAACTCTGCAATTTCGTGGTAATATATCCATTTTTCAAGGGATTAATCCGTATATTAAATATCTACAATTGTAATGAATATTATTACAATAATGACTATCTTACAATTGGAAATATTTAATATGCAGATTAACCCTTTGAAAAGTGGACATATTACGATGAAATTGCAGAGTTGGGGAAAATTACAGTTAAGTAATTCTGATATATATATATATAAAAATATAAACTCTAGATGCATATATAAAAAAACATCTATACATTCAGTTAAAAATAAAAACCATTGTTGATAATGGCTAAAAGAATAGTTGAAAGTGGTCGTATATGCAGAACATTTAGACAAATTCTAGACATTTTATGTCCAGAAAAGGAAAACATTTATACAAACACAAGAAAAATTAAATAAAAAGCTTAATCCTAGCACCTTGTCAGTGGTCTTTAATGAAACATGTTTAAAAACGGGGATGCTGCCCAAATAAACAATTTCACCTCCAAAACTTTGGAGTTGAGATGCTGAAGGTAACGTCAATCAGCTAAGTGACAAACTTGTATTTATATTAATTATATAATACAAATATAAAATTTTTCACTTAATATATATTGATATATATATATATATATATATATATATATATATATATATATATATATAGCAATTATATGGATATAGATCCGACAGTATGAAGAAAAATATACAGAAAAAACAAACAAAAATCTTAATATGCAATTATGCTGTATTAATGTTAATATAAAGTCAACGTTGGACGTTTCAGTCTATTTTAGACCATCTTCAGGACATTTTCATTAAACATAATTAACATTAGAACATATAAAATTCAACATGAAAAGACGATGGACATAAGAGCACAACTAATCCAAACAGATAACTGAAATTTTTATATAAGATCAGCGTCCCGTTTAAATATGATCACGTCGTCGATGTTGTGAAAACGTATTCGAAGATGATTTCCAAATATTAAAAAAGTCGATTGAACTATTTTATATAAACAGTTCAAGAAATCCCTTCCGTTGATATAGGAATACTGTTTATATAAAATAGTTCAATCGACTTTTTTTATATTGTGTTGGTAGTTGGATATGTGTGTGTATATATATATACACACACACACCACACACACACAAGAAAACTTTTCTTCATCAATATTTCATCCTCTGATGGACTTTATCAAGGCAAATGTAAGGATTCTGCAATATGTATTTATAAACAGAAGTAAAAATATTGTCAGGTTTTCAGAACTTTTTTCATTTGAGAATGCAAATAAATATTCTTCAGGCTGACAGTGAAAGTCAAGGTAAAATATGGAGGATGATAAGTGATGCAATTTAATGCCTAATAAATGAAAGTGAATAAACGTCGTTATTGTTGAATTTTTTATTTTCTTATATATATTTACTTTTTTATCTATTTATTAATTATATATCACGATATTTTGATAAATTATTTATGTATTAATTTCAAATAATAGTTTTTTTTCAAGTTCATCAGAGAATGAATCGTGTTGGTAAAGAAAAGTTTTCCCTTTTGTCTTGATTCACAAATATTTTATGGATATATTTTACTTATATCTGAATCTTTACACACACACACACAAAAATAGAAATCAATAACATCTAACAAAATATGTAAAATTACTAAAATTGAATGCCTTTAAAGGCGAGCAGATATTGCTAAAGAAAACTTGAATGATGATAATTAACAAAGAAAGAAAAGTTCAAAGAACTTATCTTTGTGACTGACTCAGTATCATATATAAACTGCTCATCAAAGTCAGCATAAACCTATTTATCTGATTTATTTATTTCTGACCCTGATGAGTGGTTTATATGCAAAACTTAAAGTTTGTCACAAAGATAAGCCATTGTTAATTCTCTCTCTCATGTGTGTGCATATATATATATATATATATATATAAAATTTTAAATCAATTCACCCCAAGAAGGGCGATAGTGCCACTAAGATGCAAGGAGCTACTGGGAGTGAAAGAGAATGAGAAAACATTGGAAGTAATTCTAAGCCCAATCCTAAACTGGGAACAAGGGATAAACCTCTTTTCTTGTTCAAATGATGTCATTTTTTTTAATGAAATATATGCTTGATGCTCTAGCACTATATACTATATGAAAAGATTACTTAAATTTTAAATATCAATTTTATTCCAGCCTTCTGGAAATTTTACCAAGAAACATCAATGTTGGGATAAAACTGATATTTAAAAGTTAAGTAAACTTTTCATATAACATTATTAACAGTCTATTTTTAATATTTTAATATTGACCACTATATATAAAATATCTGCTGTTTCTTCAATATATATATATATATATATATATATATAGATAGAGAGAGAGAGAGAGAGAGTGTGTGTGTACATGTTTGGGTGGTTAGAACATTTGCTTTCCAACCATTAGTTTTGGGTTTGAATCTCACTACAGTTGATTTGCCAGGATTATCAGGAAGGTGACTTCCTGATTGGTTTGGTGAGCTGATCTCAGCATGTGACACTGTTAGAAAGTACCTGAAAACCAAACCTTGAGTTGAACCAAGCCATGCAAGGGAAATTGGATAGAGATGGAACTGTTTGGAAGTCATTGATGGTTGTGCTAGCATGACATCACAAGTCATCGTGACCGAGGATTTGAGCACACTTACCTTGTTGAGACTGCTGATCATGCCAGATTATGTGCTCTCTCTCCAAGAAACTGTAACTAAGCTCTGCTTAGAATATTTGCCGTATATACCACAGGTGGGTTTTGTTGGTATTGAACAAACTAAAATGTGCCTGAGCAGGTGTGCTTGGAAATGAGTAACCTGCCATTATATATATATATTACGAAATGGACAAAGTCCGACAATTATTTCAAGATATTTTTTATGTTTATACATTTATAAACAGAGCATTTACTTAAATATTTGTATCTTTTATAGATACAAATATTTAAGTAAATGCTCTGTTTATAATAAACAGTATTAACAACATTTACTGATCTGAATGTTCGAGAAATTTTCATAGAAAATATGCGTTCTCTGACAGGGATCGAATCCGTATCCTATACGGAACCGTCATATAGTCTGACATGCTTTTACCGATTGAGCCACAGAGAAGCATTTCGGTTAGCAAGGTCGATTTTACTGTTTTTAAACTACAATTCCCCATGATTTTCTCTCATACATTCATATCTGTCCGATGCATATCCAAATGTAAACAAATAACGTCACACATTATGAAATGGACAAAGTCTGACAATTATTTTAAGACATTTTTTATGTTTATACGTTCAAAAGAACAAGATACAAATATTTACACTTCTCTCTGTCTCAATTGAACTTTTGAAGATTATTTATGAAGGTTATTTAAAGGCAAAAAATATTTTTTGACTTTAAGAATTTTTTTTGAAGACAAGAATGATTTGCTACTAATTAACACATGGCTTTAGATTCATACCTTTCTCAAGTGTATTTGTGTGTAAGTGAATATAATGAATCTGAGTGGAATTAGAACACGGTTCTCCAATTTCCAATTCTGAGACGTTATCCATTGCACCACATGCTCATCCAAGCTTACAGCACCTGTTATTGGAAAAACTTTACCATGGATGCTTCCCTGAACTTTACAATCTTAACCTCTTGAAGTAAAGGGTTAATTGTTATCTATCCTCTTTATCTTTACTTCCTATGACATCTTCTTTTACTCAGCTTACACTAAATTAACACCAGTTCCTGTTTAGTTATTGGAGTTAAGCAATGTCAAGCCTGGTCAGTACTTAGATGGTGAACTACTTGTAACTTCACACAATCTGAAACAGGTTGCAGCTTTAAATAACCACAAAGGGTTGATAAGTGATAAAAAAATTCCCCCCAAGAAACAAACAAAAAAATACAAACAAATCAATCAATAATTTTTTTTTTTTTTTTTTTTACTCATCACACCTCATTCATCATAGCCAATTTAACAGTAAAACTCTACCTTGAACGGCTCTCGAGCCTTGTATTGGGTGGACTTTGGTATAAAAAAAAACGAAGAAAAAAAGTCTGGAAAAATTCTGATATCACTGTGTATATGGTTATGTATTTAATACTAACCCAGTGTGGTTAAGTTGGAACCAATTTTCACTATAATGAACAATTGTAGTCCATAAACAGAACAACAAAATTTAGACATATTACTTTTGTAATAATATACTAGTATTATAAACTAAAGGAAATTGCATTCTGTTAACAAGTAGTGTTTATAGAAGATGGTAAAGATAAAATTGGGACACACAAAGATAATAAAACCAAATTTTTCAGCTCTATTTAGCTAGTATTTAATAAACAGCTAGAATTGTATTTCATTATTAATCTTTCACATACAGCACAACACAAGCCTTTGTTAGAGCAGAAGATTATGTTTAAATAAATACTTAATGTCTACATTATTTCCTTTGTTTTGAAAACGCAATCATCTTTGAAAACACCAAGAAAAAAAAAAAAAAAAAAAAAAAAGGAACAGCAAAGTAAGCAGAATTTCTTTTTTCTGAAGAATGAGAGGTCAGGAAATCATTCCTTAAAATTAAAAAAGGTCAAAAACTGGCAATATCGTTTTTTACTTCCTTGCATTGTCCTTTGTTTTCCGTCATTCAGCAAACGATGAATGCCTCCAGTAAATTTTTTTAGGGACTTGTTTTCTACAGTTTATCAACCTTTTTCAGTTTATTTAAAGCCAGAAAATATTAAGCCAATAATATACCCAATATTTTAGGAATGCTTTAATCTGGAGACATTCAATTCTCTTTTGGACAAACAAACAACGACATTAACATTTCAAAATCTCAGACAATAGTATCAGGCAATAGTGCTATAATACTATTGGAAAATTGCTGCAAATTTATAGCTTACCTCTTTAAGTCCTCGAAAATTTCCAATTGCAGAGACTGTGTTGCCTTGAACATTTATATAACAGTTGGTTAGCAATTCAATGGCCTAAAAAGAGAACACATATAATAGAAATTAGATAATTTATAACAGACTATTGTCAGGATATGTGTGATCATAGCTCTTCACAATTTCCTGTCTTTTGTAGCTCTTTATAAATTTTGGCTTTTTGTTATCTCTGCTAAATTTTGTCCCACCATTTAATCAAACTCATTAGGTAGGTTATGCACTGTTTTCCTGTCTCTTGCTTTTAATTTGTCCTGTGAGCATCAGATTTTCCAAGCCCTCTTTCCTTATTATGTGCCCTATAAATTTTAACTCTTTCTGATTTTAAGTGTCTTTTTTGCTTCCATTTTCTTTAAAACTTAGTTGTAGCTCACATGTTTAGTCCATGGTATTCTCAGTAGAACTCCAGTATTCTTCTGTAGAACCACATTTCTGTTGCTCCAAGTATCTTCATCTGTGAGAAGATTGTCCAGCATTCACTACCACAAGAGAATTGATGAGACATAAAATTTCAGTAGACTTTGCTTCTAATCGATCCCAAGAAAAACCATGGCTTTTTAATAATCAAATTATGAAAGATGATGGTGTGAAGGGGTTGAGTTTATTGGAATTAACTCCTCGTCTGGTAAGGTGGGACATGTACAACAGGTGTTACCTGAATGTCATCCAGTGACTGTTAAGCAAAACTGGTGTAAAGGGGGTCAAACACTTTGGAGCTGATCCCTCATCTGTAAGAGAAGACATGAGCGACAGCTGTCACTGGACTGTCATCCAGTGACTGCTCACATAAAAAATATTCTCAGGACATGCAATGTCAGAACAGAATCATTGTGACCAGTTAGAAAATACAGAACAGGAAATGAACAAGTTAATGATTAATACTTTAGGCATTTATGAAAGTGGTGGGCAAACAATGGAGATCTCATCAGTGACAAACACAGAATCATATATAAAGTTGGAGAGAAATGAGAGAGAGGAGTAGGATGATCCGGTTGGTATTTTGAAAATTATTACCATAATAAGAATTGTGTCTACAAGTGCTACTGGTATCATGAAACCCAGTACTAGTAGTCATATAATTGGGACATTGGTAACTAAACCAGTTCTCCCACCAGATTTTCTAGTGGGGAGAGTAGCTGGACATCCAGCAGTATTAAAAACCTGTCATTAGGCCTTCTTGTAAGGTCAATGGTCATCTAGCACAATGTATACAGCCAATGTAGTGATGACATGGCATCACTGAGTAGTGGGCTTCCTAGACCAAAATCAACGGAGTGGAAAATTCTCCTGAAAGAATCAATGACCCCATAATTGTTAGGAAGGCAAGCCTTTAAGTTAAAGGACATCAGCTGATATTCAATTCCTTTATCTCTTTTACTAAATCTGTTATAAGTGATCCATATATCAAGGTATTTGAATTGTTTGGTATTTACTAATACCACATCCTAAATTTTTATGATGGATTCACGGGAGGTGCCATCACTGCTTTTATTCCAATTCTAGATCATAGTTTCTGTTTTGGAAAGGTTTATCTTGAGTCCTATTTCTTGGGACACTTGGAAGATAATGTTGGTTTTTTGTTCAAGATCATTCTTATGTAAACTATGAATAAAGTTTCCCTGTGCCTTTTCTATAAATACTTTCATGGTAATTGATCTGATGAACTTTCTTTTATGGTACCTAGAGTTTATGCATTTAAGTGTAGTACTAGGTTGGCAGCAAGGGTTCATTGTTTTACAGTTTAAATGGCTAGATGTAAGTTCTAGAACAGTAGGTTCTATGCTAACAGTTTCTTCTCTTGCACTTCTTGTTTGTGAGTGAAAGTCTTCCAGCTTCTTGCTTTCCAGTAAAGTTTGATCTTCAAAAATCTAAATGCAATGTCAATTGTTATCTTATGTCTTCTTAATTTCTGTTCTTTTATTGTTCTCTCTCCTTAATGTTTTTTTCTCTCATATTCTCTCACACACCAGTAACCCTTTACATGTAAGTGGCTTTATTGCCTTGCTTGGGGTGAAAAAAAAAAAAAAAAAAAAAAACTTTATCATCAGTATAGCCTCCCTCAGTCCATTGGCCTTAGGAGAGGCAATTGAGGGGCCACTGAAGGGGTTATTGAGTGAGATTGTTCTTAGCAGGGTTGTTTGATTTAAATTATTGATATAAATCGATTTTATAAAAATCTTTAATTAAAGCAAAAGATTTAGAAATAAAACATTTTCTTGTTTTCATGTAATTTTGTGAAGGAAGTGTTAAACATACTGAATCAAATATTTATTAAACTGAATAATTTTTTTTTATTATTCAATACTAGAAGATGAGGCCACTACTGACAAGAGTTGCTTAACCACATAAAGTATATCACTGCAGAATACACTTTCAAATGTCAAAGTTTAAAAATAGCACAGGCAGGAATTGAAAAACCCAGATCTAAGTTTAACCTTTAACATTCTGTAGGTGATTTTGTTTGCAAAGCAAAAATATTATCCTGCCACTGCAAGTGATTCAGATGAATGAATGGTAGTGGGGTTTGAATTTTGCAGTTGTGTTGTCATATCCTGCTATGGCAACAGAAAATGGCCAGGACTGAAATTAAGTAGTCTTGAAAAACAATACAGTGGAAAGGAAAGTAGAGAATAATGCAGTGTGTTGAATGTTAAAAAAAAAAAAACATTGGTTTGCAGTGTTGCTAGCAAACTACTCAAAGAATTACAAGATTATTTATGTAGCAGATAATCACCATGTCAATCTGTGAAGTTATTTTAAAATGATGTAAGAATAAAATAGTTGTTTGATCACATTGGGGGGAAAAAAAGCAACAAAAACAAAACTGTAAGTTGAATGTAGATATACCCAACACCTTAAAAAGATTTGGTAAAAATTAACTGCAAACTTTTATTTACTAAATTGGGAAAGAGTCAAACAGATATAACCCCAAATTGTTAATTTGGCAACCCTAAACTACCATACTATCTTAATCACTCAAGTGATTTGTATCAGCTTTGCTCTTTATTTTGCTTTCTTTATGTGCAAAAATGAAAAAATATATATATATATATATATATATATATATATATGCCTGAGGAGACCTTGTGGTTGAAGCTTGGGTTGCAAAGTAGGCTGGCATTTTAGCTTTTTCTTATATATATATATATATATATATATATATTATGACATCTGCCATAGTAATACCAATAGTGTAGTGAGAGGCTAGCAATGATTCCTCTATGAGATAAGTGTTGAATGGTGAAAAATAATTCATCATCCACAAGGCTGCCTAAATACTTTTGAATTCTGACAAGGCTAGACATTGAGGATTAGGTAGCAAGATGGCTTCCATTTTGCCAGGTCTACTGTTGATGTGTTAACAACCATCACTGAATTTGTCTATCAAGCTTTAGACGAGAATGGCTAATCTTTGGCTGTGACTATAGATACCTCGAAGGCATTTGACATGCTGGACTTGTACACAAACTCAAGGGCTACAGTGTCATGGAATTAATGTTTGGCTTAATTCAACAAATTCCTAACAAATTGTGCAATGAAGGTCATGTTGAATGGGCACACCTTTCTGACATGACAGACTGAACCAACTTTCTTTTAAATATAGTCGCTCCACTTCATGTCAGTGGAAAATGTGAGGCTGAGAAGGTGCAGAATGATGCTCCCCTGGAAGTTAGCATCAACCATGCTGATGGCAAGCAGAAAAGTTTTTCTGTGGTGATTAATTCAAAGCAGTTTTGTTTTGAAGGCATTAAAATTTACAAGCCATATCTTGCTCCAGTTAACCACCAAAAGAAATAAATGATAAACTGCTGTATCATATCTATTCTCCTCTGAACAATTCTTGACAGGTGAAGAAGAGATTTGAGGCAATGGAGATGTAGTTCTACAGAAGGATGTCGAGAATAATGTAAACTGAACAAAGACACTGGAACAAGGAATGTGATATTTATGCTCAGAATGTTATCAGAAAGAGCAATACAAATGCAGAAGCATGTGTACCTGTTTTATAGATTACTCACAGGCGTGCTGTAAAGTATGCCACAAAGATCTGTTGCGACTGCACATCAACCTTGACATATTTGAGAAGGATATTAGAATATAGTTATTGTGATAAGGCAGTGAAAGGCTGGCAACATTTTGTTTGTGGGATAAGCTGTGCAGGGTGGAGAATAATTAATTGCCCACAAAGCCATGTCAGCATTTTTGAACACTGTCGATGTTGAACAATGAGGAACAGGCAACACCAGCTTAAGTATAGCAACATTGCTCCATTCTAGGTCTGATCTGGCTCTTGTAATGATAGAACATGGCTGCAGGAGTCAGGTATTTTCCAGCATCTTTGGTGACAGAATGAATACAGGAATTCCATTTGAAGTCTGGCTTGGTTTTTATGGCCTATCAACCTCAATGGGTTATTTAATGCTGACAAGATTTTTTAGGATAGGTTTGTATGAATAGAAAATGTATTCTTAGTAAGAAATCAGTTTGTAGATCAGTTTTCATTGACATACTTTTGTAAGGAGGGTTTTTGTCAGGAGTTAAATGTATTGCTGGTGATATTTCTTTTTTAAAAATATATTGCTAATATTTTTACTATAAAAATCTGTTTTTATACTTTCATAGTGTTTTCACCACAGTTTGGGGTGGGGTTAACTATTTGCCTATAGCTGGAGCCCTAACAAGTGCTACCACCCTGAGTCAGGGTGGACCTTGGAACAACATTAAGAGGTGGTTCCATGCTTCTCAAAACCTCCTAATCCGAGGCCTTGCTGCCAGATAAATATTTCCAATGAAAAGCACCAATATATTCTTTTCGTAACCAAATGTGAATCATTTGTCAAATTAAATCTAGGCTCAATTTGCTGATGTCAAGTTGATGTGTCCTTTTTGCTTCAATTTTCTCTAAAACTCATTTCTCACATTTTTGGTTTTTGTTATTTTTAATAAAGAAAAACATTTACTATGGCATAAACAAAATAAAAATAAAAAATAAATTACCTTTAATGTTGAGCCGTTGGGGCCTATTAGCCTCTGTCTGCGTTTCACAAAACGTTCCTTTTTGTGCACTATACTCCCAATTTTGATAATATCACAATAATTCCCATCTTGTAAAATACGCACAGCCTAAAAAGAAAAAACAAAAAAGACAAACAAATTAAAAGAGAAACTGAACAATGAAACGTACAAATTCTAGTTGGGCAATGAAGTGCAAAAAAATTAAAATATTAAGGATGTAGTGGTCATATTATCAGTTTCAATAGCTCATCTTCTATCTAATATGAAAGTCACTATGTTACATTTTTTTTAACTTTACTCCTGGAGGCTGTAGCCCAACACATTATACCATTTTGAAATCAGGCTATCTCCATGAGCAAATTAAAAACATTCCAGGTTGGATCCGGATCCACAATCCTGGAATTTGGGATTCCCAAGTTTTCATTACTGCATTTGTTTTCAGTGATTTTTGTACGATTTTTTGCGACAAAATTTTTACAACTTAGAAATAAATTTGGGAATAATCAAAATTAATTGCGAAATCCAACAAAAAGACATCCATAAAATAAAAATAATTGTACAAAAAGTAAGGACCTACGATTATCAAATTGTCTTTAAATTAAGTGGTGACAGAAGAATTATTGTTAAACTTTTAAAAAGGTAAAGCTTAAATATTAATGCAATATTTAAATGCAGTGATCAGTTTTGAGTTCTGTAGTTTATTGTTGCCTATCCTTCCTACCTATTGTGATGAAGGCCCAATTAAAGCCCTCTGTAGGAGCTAGCTTAAATGTCTCCCTATCAGGTGGAATTGAAGCTAGTATATATATTTTAATTATTTCATTCCAAGCAAAACAAAGCCAATAAGACACAGGGGGTTTGTGAGTATGAAAGAATACAAGAAAAAGAAAATATTAAGGCAAGAGAACAATAAAAGAAAAGAATTAAGAAGACAGAAGAAGTGTGATAGAAGAAACTTTTAGCATAAACCTTATGGTTATATCTGGCCATTTCAACTATAAAATGGTGAGTCCTTGCTACCAATCTAGTACTGCACTTAATTTATAATGTCTAGGAAAGTTCAGAACTATTACCATGAATGTATTTATAGAAAAGGCACAGGAAAACTACATTATGGCAGTGGGAAAGTGACTAAAGCTGAGATGCCAGGTCAGGATTAATAAAATTGCAGATTCTTTGGATTTTATCAAAAATCTTTAAATATATAGCAGCAGCACAAGATTAGATGTGGCAGCAGTATTCAAAGTGTTGAGTTCATTTTAATTTGCAGGCATCACAAGCCTAATAGGGCTAATTAGAATCTATTTTGTGTGTGTGTGTGTGTGTGTGTTGGGGAGCAAGGAACACCCCAATATCAGCTAACCATTAATTTCTCAGATACCATATTGTTGAACACAGTGCATGAATTTAGTATATTTCCAGTGGCTCTTACAAAAATTATCTGGTTCTCTTAGGCTTTGCAGTGGGCATTAGGATATATCACTGATTATATTTCTCTTGGTGCAATGGTGAGGTGCTGTTTGTGAAAGAGATCTTTGATTACAAAGACAATCTAATTTCTGTGTGTTTCTGGTATAAGGAGTTATCCTTATTTACATGCAGACTATTGTCCTCATCACTGGTCATCAGTGTTTCAGCTGTTGTGCCCCTTGGCATTCATCAGATGCATGTTGATCTGGGTAACCTATAGGTAAATTTCAAACTGAACATTTTATTTAACCTAGACATGGGCAGTGGAACAAGAACAATCTACCCCTGCAGATCAAATAAAGAGTTCAATTCGAAATTCCCACTAGATTACATGGAACAACATACACCTGATTAAGGCAAGAGTACACAATGGTTGAAACATTGTGATAACAAAGATGAGGCCAATAGTCCACATGTAAATGAAGTGAATCTAGTAAGAAAATAACTAATTACAGATTGTCACAAAACCATTTTGAAAGAGAAATTTCAATTGAAAGGAAAGGACATTTCAAGCTTGTGAAATTTGTAATATCCATGATTTTAGGGCTGAATATCTTTCTTCTTATCTTTATTTTCCCAGTAATATGATAGGTGGGTGGAAAATGGAATTGGCAAGCTGCATTCAAATTCTGACTGAGACAATTTTGTTTACCTTGTAATAATATTCATCTCTGTATATTTTTACTGATGAAGGCCAGAGGGCACAAAAGCTGAAACACTGAGAGAACAACAAAAGATGAGGACAATAGTCTGCATGTAAATAATGTTAAATCCTTATCCCAGAAGGCAATCAGATGATGACAACAACAATGATGAAGACAATAGTCTGAATATAAATAATGATAACACCTCATCCCAAAAATTCAGACTAAAGGCAATCAGATGAAGACCTCAAAGATGAAAACATTAGTCTGAATGTAAAGAATATAAATAATGATAACTCCCAGAAATTCAATCAGAAAGTGATCAGGTGATAATAACAAAGATGAGGACACTAGTATGTATATAAATAATAACTCTTCATCCAAGAAATTCAGACAGAAAATATATATATAACACTTTTATAATAGTTACCCATCTTATAAAGATTGTATAAGTTATTGCTTAACTCCAGTAACCAAGGAGAAAACATTTTAAACCTGATATCCCCTTAGATCATTGAGCTGACTGAGTTTTGAAATATAACAAAAAAAAAAAAAAGTTGAAGTAATATAAGCATTAGTAGTTTTAGCTCAACACAGACATACAGAAATATTGGGTGGGGTTGGAGCGATGGTGGTGGTGTTGGTGGTGGGATCTGGGGCTAAAACAAAGGACGATAAACAGAAAAATCAAGAAAACTGCTAAGGGAAACATGGAATTCACTATAAGTTGAAACAATTATGGCAGAGATTTTGTCACATGATAAAGGGGAGATAAATCCTACATAATGGGTTTTGAAATCCTCACAGTTTAGTATTGTTGAAGTGGTTGCTAACATTTTTTTTTTTCAAAATTAACAAATTATATTTCATTCAATTTTGAAAACCAATTGATGAAATTTGAATAAGCTGATTTGTTTGCAAAAATACTTTGACAAAAAAAAACCCTACTTTGTGGTTTAATAATTTCTTTAATTTAATAGGTTAATTCGGTTTGGTTTGTTTTATGGCATATAAACCTCAATGGGTTATTTAATGCCGACAAAATTTTTATTGTTGGTAATATGTTTTTCTTCAAAAATCTATTTCTGGGAATATTTTTCTTTGAAGAAATCCATACTTGGTAATATTTTTTTCAAAGAATGTATAGCAGTTTGTATTGCTGGTACTTTTTCTTTTAAAGTATTGCTGATAATAATTTTTCCTTCAAAAATTATTGCTGGTAATATTTTTTTTTTTTATTACAAAGTATTTCTGGTGTTAAAACCTATTTTTACACAAGTTTGGGTGTCAATTATTTGCCCATAGCTAGGACCCTAACAGGTGCTACCACCCCACGTCAGGGTGGACCTGGGAACGCCAGCAATTAAGAGGTGGTTCCACGCTCCTCAAAACCTCCTGATCAGAGGCCTTGCTGTTGGACGTAGTTTACCATCTTACCCAGGACGCATATGTAGTTTATTGTCATACCCAGGACAGTTAATTTTATAGGACTTCATGGTAAACAATATTTTTTAAAGAAAATTTATTTTTTTCCTTTTTCACAGCGAAGAATAAATTCTTAGGATTTCTTACTCTTGAGCATGCAACATACAACTGGCCATGTGTAGATATTACTTTCTGGAGCCAAATTCAAACTCTCTGAAGCATTTGGCCCTGTGATTTGTTTATAGTTCTTGTAAATGCAGGGCAAACTGGAAACTGGATTATTGCATATATAAAAACTTAAATATATGCAAAAAACAATATTGCATTTTTATTAAATAAGTATTTGCTATTTTAATCATTAAATTATTTTTAAAATAGTGAGAGTATTTTGTATGTTAAATAATAAAACTTACCTAAGCTAGACATCCTAGTAAAAACCAACTGTACTTTGTATCCACCTCAACAGTTAGTACTGTTCCCCAAAATTTGGTTTTGATCAGCCAATGTATGGCTATTTTAGAGGGTGTGATGGATAGATAGGCAGACAGGAGTCACAGAATTAGATAGATTGATTGATTCATTCAGGAGAATATATACACAAGATGGTATACTTAGTTATGAGCTAAGAAAAAAAATATGACAAAACAAATTTAAGATTGAGGTAGTTTATAAAACATTTATACCAAAGCTTGTAATAAAGGCATGAATCAAATTCTCCCTGCTCATCATTTACTTGGCATTTTCCAATAGTAGGCAGAGAAAAGAGACCAGTGACTATAATTAACTTGATCTCCTGTAAGAATCAGTAGCAAGATAACTGATATTTGCATTGGCAATTGGAAATTAGTCATTCTAGTCAAATCTTATCACTTCTGTCTTTATTAAAAAAAAAAAAATAAAAAAAAAAAATAATTGTCTTAATTTTTCTTTAGAAAGGGGCATAACAGAAGGATGTGTCTTCTCAGTGGACTTCTTCAACCCTTATAGTGAGGCAATCCTGAGAGTATTACAAGTCCTACCAGAATTCATTATTGGTAGCATCAATATTAACATTATAAGATATGCAGATGACACAGTTAATGGCATACACAGAAAGGAAACTGCAAGAACTACAAAAGGTTGTATAGGAAAGTGAGAAGAAAGGACTAAACATTAATTATCAGAAGATAGAATGTATGGTTATGAGCAAAAAGAAGAGACCAAAGCGCAAATTAGAAATTGGAGACACCAAAATGAAGTACAAAAATTTAAATATCTGGGAAATGTTTTAACACAGTATGGAAAATGCAATACCGAAATCCAAAGGCACATTGGAATGCCTTCCAAAAGATAAGCAAAGTATTAAGAAACAGGAAAATTTTATTAGAAACTAAGAAAATAATACTGAATTATTATGGAATACTGGTCCTCCTAACCAGTAGTGAATGTTGAACTATCTCAGCATAGATGAAGAAGAGACTTGAGGGAATAGGAATGTGGTTCTACAGAAAGATGCTGAGAATTCCAGTGACTGAAAATGTGAGCAACAATGAAGTTTTAAAGACAATGGAAACAAAAAACGACACTTACGACAAAGAAATTAGACTAATTCTCTTGATTTCTTTTTTCATAATGTTTTGGTTGTCTACTCTCCTTGTCTTTCTCAGGTATCTGTTATATGTCTGAATATTGGTGAATCCTACCTTGGATTAATGTGCATGAAGGAGAGATGAAGTTTGAATTCATGAACATTCTAGAACAAAAAAAGTCCTGAAAATGGCTGGAGGGTACACAGCCGAAATGTGTTGGGGAAAAAAAACAGAGACAGAGGAATTACTCCAAACAAAACCACATATAAGGGTTAAAAAGACACCGTTTCTTAACAGACAACCTTTTGTCAAATTTTTTAATACGGTCATATAACATAAAAATATGCGAAAAAATTTAATGTGAAGTGAAAGTACTTATATTGTTAGAGTTTATTATGCAAGTTAATGTTTTTCCAATATAATTACATTTTTTTTAAACTACCATGTATCTTCAGGAGATTAACAATCATGGCTCTCCACATGTTCTATTTCTTTATTATTTGTGAATTACCATGAGATCTTGAGAATGGACTGGTTTCCTGTTACTTTCTCCATAGTTTTGAATTCTGTACTTCTGTTAGACTGGCTGACAATCAAGGCTAGAAAGCCCAGTCTATTCTGCTAGTTAACACATAGCTGGAGTGAGAAGATATGGATGAATGCCTTTCCCAAGGGTGTTAGTACAAAGTGAGCACACTAGAAAAAAAAACTTGAACTCACAATGCCATTTCTATTTTTCAAGCCAATATCCATAATGCCCACATATCAAAAATTTGTATTAACCAATTGATCTTCTGCCTATATTTCTGAGGAGCTATTGTAACTACTTACATTTTTCAGACTGTTGTCTTCATCTTTATTGTCATATAACAATAAAGATGAGGACAACAGTCAAAACCATGTAAATAACCAATTGATATTAGTATCATTTTCAATGTTTGTTTGGTGTAATAGGTTGATGACTTGAGTAAAGTTGCTAAAAAATAGAGCGATGACTGATATGTTTTTTTTACACCTTATCAATCTTTTGCAGGTCTTGAAGTCAGAAAATATTTTTAGAGTGTATGAATCTTTTGGGAGATAATAATAATAATTTTACTGACACAAGTCTACTAATTAACCCAAGGCTTGGAGGAAAAAAAGATGAATTCATAACTTTCTTGTTGGTATTTGTGCGTAAGTGAATATGATGAACCTGACTGGAATTGGAACTCTGCTCTCTGATTTCCAATTCCAGCCCATTATACATTACACCATGTGCACATCTTACTGCACCTGGTGTTCTCAAGTTGCTTAACTTTGGCGATCATATGAAAATTGCTCTTTCAATGTGATATGGCTGAAAATTAATGAAAATAAATGATGACAGTAAATATTTTTTTTTGAAGAGGACATCAATTTGATTTGTTCTCACCTGTTGGAAGGGCACACTTCTGGCAAGAAGCTTGATGAAGTCACGGGCTTTGAGAATTATAAAAGGGTCCCAGGTTTTTCTGGTTGTCAAAACTGTCATGCTCCCTTCAATCAAATCCAATTTGCCTTTTAATTCCTGTTAACAATGCAAAGAAAAAGAAAAATAAGAAATTGAAACCCAACAGAAATAACAAATACAAGTTTAATTCAAGTGTCGGTCTTATTTTGCTATCAAACTTATTAAATAATACTAACTCAGTCTGATAATAGTTATTACATTTAGTGGATGAAAAGTGTATGCAAATAAAACAATGATCGTCAGACAGAGATAGAAAATTCTGTTTTTTTTTTGTTAATCATTTCATGTCAAGCAAGACAATAAAGCCACTAAGAAGCATGGGGGTTACTGAGTGTTAGAGAATATGAGAAAAAGAAAACATTATTAAGGAGAGGGGACAATAAAAGAACAGAAATTAAAAAAACCCATAATAAATGCATATTATGAGGATATGTAGGAATGATAACTACTGATCCTAGACTTGAAAAGGTTAAGAATGTAGCTATTAGCAAAAAGCATCCTCTTGGGAGTCTGATCAACAAAATACCCATTCATGGGGAAGAAACTGTCAGAGGGGAACATTTTTTTTTTTTTTTAATCATTTCACCCCCAATTAAGGCAATAAAGCCACTAAGACACAATGAGTTACTGAGTGTAAGAGAATATGAAAAAAAAAAAAAAACACTATTAAGGAGCGAGAAGAATAAAAAACCAAGAATTAAGAAGACAATTGATAATAATTGACATTGCATTTAAATTTTTGAAGATCAAAGTTGACTGGAAAGTAAAAAGCCAGAAAAGGGTTCCACAAGCAAGAAGTACGAGAAAAGAAACTGTCAGCATAGAACTTACAGTTACATCTAGACATTTTAACTGTAAAATTATGAGATCTTGCCACCAATCTAGTACTGTGCTTTAATTGACAAAGTCTAGCTACCATAGAGGAAAGTCCATCAAAACAATTACGATGAAAGTATTCATAGAAAAGGTACAGGGAAGTTGTGTTACAGCAATGAGAAAATGACTGAAACTGAGATGCCAGGCCAGAATCAATAACATTGCAGATTCCTCTTTGTATTTTATCAAGAGTTCTCTAAATACATAGCAGAAGCAGACCAGACCAAATGTAACAGCAATATTTAATGGTGGGAAAAGTGACAGAAGCCTAGATGCCAGGTCAGGACTGATAACATTGCAAATTCTTTGTATTTTATCAAGAGTTACTAAATACATAGCAGAAGCACCAGACCGGATGTGGCAGCAATATTCAATATGTGGATGAATGGCAGACTTATAAATTTGTAAGATAGATTCTGGTGAGAAAAATAGTTTTAGCACAACACAGTGAACCAACTTTCCTAGCAGCAGACCTAGCAATTGATTCAATATAATCTTTCTACTTCGCATGTCAGCAGAAAACATTGCCTCAAGAAGGTGCAAGGAGTGACTCTCCTGGAAGTTAGCATCAACCATGTTGGTGGAAAACAAAACAGATTTTCTTGATTAAAAGACAGAATTTTTGTTTTGGAGGCATTAGAATTAACAAGCCATTCCTTGCCCCAGTGAACAACAGATTGTAGGTCATTTTTGATATCAGCTTCCAATAATGATCTAAAATCTGTTAAATCAAGTACAGTGTAACCCGAATATAAGAGAGTTGTCGGGACCGGAGAAGAAGTCTCTTATATCCGGGTTACACTGTACTTTATAAAATAAAAAAAAAAATTTATTACATTTGTGTTAAAAAAAATCTATGATATTCATGTCCAAATGAAACAAGAGATGTTCATTTAAATTTTCATTACACATACAAATTGTTTGGTTGTTGTTATTTTAAAGATACATAAAGCTGAATTTAACACAGTTTGTTGATGCACAATTGAGATACTCACATATTCAGCCAAAGCTTTCTGTACAAGAGGCCAGGCACTACGTATGTATTTCTCTCTATATTTAGGGAAGAGAGTGGCAAATGAGCTTTCACATAATAAGCCATGAACATTATCTTCTTTCCGAAATTCTGGTTCTTTCCAACCTTCAGGAACTGTTAATAATTCTTCAGAGTTTTCACCCTTATCTGCAAAAAGGATAGAAAATTTAACAGGCATTAACTATTAAAACATTTAAAAGAGAAATTATTTTTGAATTACTGATAGGACAGTGCATAACTAAAACAAAGAAAAAAAAAAATCTTAATAAAAGATCGATGCCATAAAAATTGCTGAATATTAAATATTTGAAAATTTATGTTTTTAATTAATAAATTGTGCAAGTGATGTAATGGTTACTAGCTTGGAACAGAAAATTGGCAAGTCGAGTTCAAATCACGATTGAGTTTATCACACTCATTTTTTGGGAAAGGTATGAATCCATCTCTTCTCTCCCCCAGCTATGGTTTAAATAGCAGAGCAGAATGGAGCTCTCTAGTCATGGTTGACAATCAGTCTAGGAGAAGGACAACTCTGAATTCAAAACCCAGACATGGGAAGCTGTACAAAGATGGTTAGACATGGGGTGAAGATAATATGACTGTATAACAAAAACAGGATAGATTTCAACAACTATGGATAATCCAACTGGAGAGGGATTATCCAGAACATTTTTGACACTACAGGGCATTGGGCCAGGGATGGATGGGTATTGAGCTAAAAATGTCAAATGGTAGTGAAATTGTAGAGTAATTGGTCATGGTAAAATGAAATTGGCAGAAATACCCAACAAACAGAATTGACAAAGTTTGCAATAAACAGTAACAAAAAAAACAAAATACACAGTAAAAATAACATTAAGCAGTAAACAATATATACAAAGCAAAGCAACAGTAATAATGCCAAAAGTTCATAAACTAAGAATGGTGCTAACACACAAAAGGGGATGCAGACAAGTGACCACAGTGTTCTGTCTTTAAAAACAAGAAAGAACAAAACCAAGTCAAATAAGACTGAAAAGTGGTTTAATCTTATTGGCTAGGAAGAGATCCCAGCATGTATCTGTTTGTTTTCTCGATAAATTTGGGGAGGGGGATGTTTTTGCAGTCATTCCAATACGGATTGGTCTGTTTTGTTTTACGGCATATCAACCTCACTGGGTTATTTAATGCTAACAAGATTTTAATGATAGGTTCGTATGAATTGAACACATATTCTTTGTAAGAAATCAGTTTGTAGATCAGGGGTCATTCTTCTATTTTTGTAAAGAGGGTTTTTGTTGATAGTTTGATTTCATAGATATATTCTTTACAGATATACAGTTTGTAGAGAAATTGGACAAATTTGTTGAAAATTTTACATATTGTGTAAGACAACAGTTTAGTTGTACATAATTGTTTTGCCATGAAAAGTCCATATGGTAGTAGTAAGTATTTAAGAGCTTGTAACATTGTGACATCTTCTGTATGAATTAATATTTTAATTATATAATTATATATCACTATTTGCCCATAGCTTGGACCTTAAAAAGTGCTACCACTCAGAGTCAGGGTGAACCTGGGAACAACAGCAGTTAAGAGGTGGTTCCATGCTCCTCAGAACCTCCTGATCAGAGGCCTTGCTGCAGGATACAGTTTATTGTCAAATACATATTGGAATCAGCAGAAACTTTATATAAAAGAAAAAAAGAGGTGAAGGGACTTATTAAAAAAATAAGTTTTAAAAATGCAAATAAAAGTGGTTGGTTTATTTTTGAATATCACATAAAAGGAAAATAGGGCAATGCATCTATAAACATCCAAAACTTGTAACATGTGAATGTCATACACTTTTCTTTCTGATGTCAGCATGGCAAAAGCAATTGAAAAAAAATAATAAAATAAAAAAATTATTTTATACTGTATTCAATAATTTTACCAGTTTAGTTACATTGAAATAATTATTTATATATTTAATAGATATATAATTATATTATAATAATTATATTATAATAATATTAATAACAATAAGAATTTACAATTTTATGATAATTTTAAATTAATTTTTATTAATAATAATTATAATTATTATTATCTTATATTATTATATATAAATATATATTTAATAATTATTTATTTACATGCAGTTTATTATACATGTGCTGATTCTTTCAGAAGCCTAAAAGAATCTTGCTCTGGATATGACAAACTACAGCTGGCAGTGAAACCTCTGATTAAAAGGTTTTAAGGAGTGTAGAACCACCTCTTAATTGCTGCTCCCAGGTCCACCCTGACATGGGGTGGTAGCACCTGTTAGGGTCCCAGCTGTGTGCAAATAGGGAACCCCACAAAACATGAAAATATAAAAAATACATTAGAAAAAATTACCAGCAATACCTTTTCATAGTAAAAAAAAAAAAAAAAAAAAAAAAAAAAAAACCCAAAACATTACCAGCAATATATTTTTTTAGAAAAAAAATTACCAAAGCAAAGAGAATAAAATTCTGACACTAAATGACCCATAAGGAGTTGATATGTCATTAGACAACCGAAAACAAATTAAAAGAACCAGTGCATATGCTAGGCTATGAAGAACTCATTAGTAGGCCTAGCATAGAAATAAAATAAAAATGGGAGGCATTAATAAAGAAAGACAAATGACATCAAGTCTTCAACAGTAGCTGTAACAAAAGAGATAGCTTCAGTGAGTGTAGTCAAGTGTGACAAGCAGTAGTCATCAGCAGGCAGGTTAGTTCACATAGAATTGTCCCATGGTGCAATAGACTAGTGGATTAAAATTGTGAGTTCAATCCCTGGGCTGAGCAGAATTCAATGGAAATGGGGTTAGCAATAACTGAACTAAATTAAGAATAGCTGAGGTATCACTAGACATGGACAGTAGAACTAGAACAATCTACTGCTGTAGATTGAATAAAGGTTCAGTTTGAAATTCCCTGTAAATTAATCTGATCATGATAACCTACAGAGTACAATAGCTCAAATGTGATAATAATAACAAAAATGAGGACACTAACCTGCATATAAATAATGATAACTCCTCATCCCAGAAACTCAGGGTGAAATGTCTTTCTTCTCTGTTTATTATATAGAAGTCTAAAAGATTTAAGCAACTGCCTTTTAGCCCCCTTTCCCCACACATAAAATGTTGCCGCTTAGTCTCTTGATACTCAGTTGTTATTTTCATGGCAGATGTTTAGACAAACTATTTCTTCCTTCCGCTAGGTTGAGAATTCCACAGCTAGGACATGCCATGCCACATTGACTCATTTTCTTCACATTCTATTGGTGAGGAGAAAGTTCCACTCAGATTCTTCCCTAGAACTATTGCAATGTGAGATGGACTCCCAAGAGAAAGCTCCCCTATAATCTTAACCTCTTCAAATCAAGGGTCAACTGTTATCTATCCTACACATCCTCATAATATGCGCCTTTCCTGTGTACCATTATAACATTCTCATTTAGTAACCATCTACCTTGAGAAGAGAAAGAGAAAGAGAAAAAGAAAGAGAAAAAGAAAAAGAAAAAGAAAGAGAAGAGAAAAAGAATCTTTGCATTTGGAATTTTTAATTCTGATATAAAAACTAACAGAACAGATTTGTCCTTGAAGAGTTATTTCCCCTTTACAAACACTGTGAAATTTTATTATTGAAGTCAAAGTTTTCACAATAAAATTAGTTTTAAACCAATCAATATTGATCACATTTTCTGGTTATATTTTTATGAGCAAATATGTTGTATGTTGCACAATTCTGACAAATTTTTATACATTTTTAATAAGCATAGCTGTTAAACTAAAACTCACATGATAGTTTACTACTTCCAAAATTTTAACAACATTAATTGGTCAGTAATACTAATTTTACTGTAAAAACATTGACATGCATAATGTAATTTGACTTAAAATATTTGTGGGTAGACTACATAAAATCAGCTAATCAATGGAGTCCAATAAAACTTTAGGTATTGATTGACTTCCAAATTAATTTACAAAAAATGGAATTTATTAAGGAAATTATTATTAAAAAAAATTATTTTTTTTTTAATTTTAGAAAATATAAATCCCCTCCCACCCAAAAAAATACTGTGTTGGTGAAGTTTACATTTTAGCCTGTGCAGGGGTTCTTCATGCTGAAATTGTTCAGCATTCCCTAGTTTGACCAGTCCAGACATTTACGGCTAAGACTTGCCAAGCTATATACACAGGGCGAACAACCTTCATTCCCTTTGTATTCCATTGGTAAGAAGGAAGTTCCTATTGGACAGCTTTTTACTCCCAAGAGGATGCTTCCCTGAACTGAACACTACAATCTTAACCTCTTCAAGTCTTGGGTCAACCTTTCCTATATAGCCTCATAATCTGTACTTACTTCCCTTTCATATGTCCATACAACAACTTCATTTAGTACCTCTCTAACTTGAGTGGCTCATGGGCCTGGTATTAAGAGAACATTTAAAAAAATTCAGTGTTTAGGTAAACGGGAGGGAGGGTGGTCATGGTCGTGAAAGGAGTGCATTTTGACATATTCTAAGTCTTACCAACAGAGCAGAACATTGTTCTCTAAATTTATATAGCAACTCTAATTGAATTCTTTATAATTTTTTTTTTTTTAATGTCAGTTGTATCATTCCTTTTGAAAGGATATTAAAAATTAAGTGAAGGTAGATTATCTCAGTTGGAGTTTGAGTTGTTGATTCCATTTTTTGTGCTGCTATTTTGTTCTAAATGAAATACATAAATGTTTTTATTCCTACAATTACGCTTTACTTTTGGTTTAATTGGTGTTATTTTTATCGTGGCATGTTTTACACAAATAAAATTCAAAATTCTTTAAAAAAAAATATTGGTATTTGATGATTTCTACTAAGAAGCGTTTCCATTTTTATGATTAGTAAATATAGTTTTATTTACTTTACTTAATAATATCACCTAAAAGAGTGAAATTAATACAGAATTTTAAAAGATTTAAAAGTTAAAAATCATTCTATTATTAAAGAAACTAAACAATTCTTGTAAAAATCCATTATGGAATGATCTATTGACATGTCTTTAATTTGTATTTAGATACATTGTATTTATTTTCAGTTTTTCTAGTTGAGTTGTTCGCTTATTGCATGTACAACATAAGGTTGCAATAAATTTTGTATTTTAACCTTATGAAAATTGAGATGTAGTAGGGGGTATCGTAAATTCGCGGCACGATACTTTTTGCTGCACTAGCCCTGAGTTCAGACAAATGAACTTAACAGGTTAAGGCAAATCTTTGATACTGAACAAGATATTCCCATTCATTTAAGCCCATAACTGACCGAAAAAAAAAAAACAAACAAAAAAAAAAAAAAAAACTACATAACACCTGTAAATAAATTAAGAAGATCCAAAGTTATGAAAGCGATTATTTTGGAAAGGAAACTAAAAGACCTTGATTCCTTCATATCACATTAAGTCAATCAATAATGACCAGACAATATTTTTTTGATGAGGTAAAGATTTAAAAAAAGAAAAGTTCCCTCATTCAGTCTTTCTTTTTTTTTTTTTTTTTTTTTAAACAATTTAGTTTCCTTACTTAATCGGTAAGTTTAGAAAATGCTTCCAAGACTTTTTAAAATTTCTAAAAACATATCGTGGCTTGATTTAATAAATGGAAAACGACGAAGTATACGATAAAACTTTTTTGCATTGTATCGAATCTAAAACTCTTAAAAAACAGAAAACACGTGTTTGGAAATGAGATTCAAAGAAAAAATCTCTACTCTGAAATGTCAGATGAAAGTCGTATTAAAATGGCAAATGTGATTAATTCATTTAAGGTAGATCAGCATTACTGAATAATATAAAGAAAAATGATTGCAAAAAAAAAAAACCTTTCACTGTTTTCCCTTTAGCTTTGTCCATGGTACCTGTCGCCATGTTAGCGTATTAAATGACTGGAATATAGTATAGAATGGAAGTTTCGTAAACAAATATATCGCAGAACAATCATTTTGATAGAAAGTATTGTAAGATAAAATCAAAATTTTTATTAAATTTTTAGTGTTAGTATTATGCAGTCTTTAGTAATTTACTTAGCATAACTTAGATGAGTCAACTGACTACTTTGATTAATAGTTTCTTAGCTTCTTATTTTCGAATTACGGTGCAATATAAAAAAAATCCCAATTTAAAGAAGTACGTATATGGTTTTTGCTCGAATGTATTTTCACATCGTGTACTTATTATCTTCAAAAGATTAAGGAGGAGTTACCTTTAAGGTGATAGCGTGTCAATGTTGCAAAACACTGATGATGGTGAATTGGTTCCTTGTTGCATGCTTCAAGAGAGTGCTTTTATAGACAGCTGAAAGGTGTTTTTTAGTTAAAAGAAGATTACCAAATTAACAACAACAACCAGTTTCCTAAACCGAAATGTTAAAAAAAAAAAAAATGAATGTTTTATTTCAACAAGACCAACTTCTGCTTCACATTGATGAAAATTATTTTTAAACTAAAAAAAAAAAAAAAAAAAATAATTTCATAAGTTCCATGCATAACTTTTCAGTAGGTAGGCGATCATGGCTCTCCACAACCTCTTGACTTTTGCTGCTGTAAGTAAGTAAATTTTGTTAGGAAGCTTAAAAAAATGTTAACAAAAGTTGATTACTGATAAAAATAACATTTCATTTATGAAATCCAAACCAAATGTAACAGAACAGAAATGAATCGAGCATTTCTGTTTTTAGAGAGAGTATTTTGTTTACAGTTTCTTTACAAGTAAAAAGGATATTTTTGGCAGGGCAAAAAAAACGTAATTTAAAAAAAACCCAAAAAACAAAACAAAAGAACTGAATGAAATTTAATAAAGTTTGTAAATACAGTATTTGAAAATAAAAATCCATTGTCCATGGAAGTTAAAATATTTGATTTTTTTTTTTCAGGTATTTAAATTAATTTCTTTAAAATCAAAGCAGTTAATTTTTTTAATGAAAAAAAAAAAAAATCTCGCTGAGCATGGGTCTCCTAGGGCCTGGAATCCCTGTTTTAAAGGTCAGAGGTTAACTAATCTTATTGCCATCTTCGCCAGAATAAGTCATGCTAAATGAAATTCTAGACCAATATATGAGAACTTTAAGAAAAAAAAATCATGTTTGTTGTGTTGTGTTACAGAAAAATCACAATAAAAACATAATCATAAGCGAACCACACACACACACATACAAGTGACAAATGGACAGCATTTGAAGAAAAAAAGAATGAAATTGATATACATTATGTACTTTGGAAGAAACTCACATTTTCGGGCCTTTTTTAAAGTAAAATAACAAAAGAATCCTGTGTTCAATTAACAAAAAAAAAAAAAAACAAACAAACAAACTTTATGACTTAACAACAGGTGAGTTTTCTTTTTATTCTTCTTTTTTCTTATTCAGATTCTTTATAGTTTTTTTTTTTTTTTTTTGTACAACGGAATCTTATTTTGATTTAATCAAGTTATAAAATTTGCCACCTTTTTTTTTTTTTACAATTGTTCGGACTGTTGTCCTCAACTTTATTGCCATTTTCACGACGTTTCGGTCTTCTTCGTTGAACAACAAAATGAATCGATCACCTTAAGAAGGCCGGAGCGTACAACGACCGAAACGTCGTGAATATGACAATAAAGACGAGGACAACAGTCCGAACAATGTAAATAGTGTAAGTAAATAGTTACAAACAATAATAGAATTTCAGAAAAACAGACATTGTGTCCTTGTTTTATTTGAACAAAGTGAGTCCCGTCTGTATTGTCGCTGATGTCACGCACAAAGCCTTTTTATTTATTTATTTTAGAAGTAGATAACTCCAAATTTTAAAAACTAAAAAAAGTAGTTTTTTCACATCTCCCGACGCAGCAAATTACGAGTTTACAACGCCACCGTCCTCTATTGTGTTACTCTACGAGACGTGGCCTCATTGTAAGACCATCGAGGAGGTGCATTGGTCTGATCTTGTATCCAATGATGAAGGCCGGCCAGTCGAACATCCTCCTCACCATCGCTCAGTGCCGTGTTCGCTGGCTCGGACACGTCCTTACGACGACCTGATGACCACCCTTTCGAGAGTCATATATCAGTTTGACCCGCCATCTGCAAACAGGCAATATTTATTGCTGCGAATAATACAACAAATGTGGCACAAAGCCAAAAACGGGGGTTGGGGTAAAGGACGGTCATCACTTGTCTTAAAACTTCTTAGCTAACCAAAACCACTGACCCTATCATACAAAACAACACATCATTTACCTTTCTTACTACATCCACCAAAATACCTCTTTGACTCAATGAAAATCCTAAATACTCCCCTTATGTACAAATATTGTCTGTGTGGGGAGGGGCATAAAAACAACAATTTTTAAAAAGTTCACCAATGAGTATATGACATATAAAATATTTACAAGAAACTAAACAAAAAAGTGTTAAAAAACCCCACAAGCTTTAAATAAATGTGGCAGAAATATCAGTTACCGGACGAAATCAATGCGGGACTATGAAATTAAAGGAAACATTCATTTCTCCCAAGCATTCACACAGGCACACACTTATTCGTATCCATCTGCAAACTGGCGACAACCTCGCAGGACATCTAGTTACTGGTAGATTAATCCAGCTCTAGAGGATGTTCCAACCCTCCGTCAAGACCGTGAGAGCTGGGCAGACAATGTGGCTATCATGGGCTCAAAGCCTTCACGGCATTATTTAGTAGTAATAGTAGCAGTTTTTTTTTGTTTTGTTTTTAACATTTTTCTTTTTTTGCTGTTGAATTTAGGAGTTTTATACTCGGAAACATAATGTTTAAATTTACATGTTTCAAAGGTTGTCATAGCCAGGAGTATAGTGGGGACAAGATCTCACTGTTTAAAATGCTTCCGTGGCAAGCATCTCAAATAGCCGCTGACAATTAAGACCAGCTCCAGGCCGGGGAATGGGCGAAGGCGGAAAACTTGCGCCTCATAACCAGCAGGGTAGATGGAGCTTGATAGCCCAGGAAGGCAGTCTATCTGAAAATGAATTTATACATTTTCTTTATTTTTAAGAATTTGAAAGAAAGATATTTAAACTAAACAGTAAACACTTTATTTATTAGAATAGAGATTGTTTATTTACAAAAATAATTTTATATTTGCAAGTATTTTTCATTTTATAAAGAAATAAAATAAATACAAAACGAATTTGTGTTCATAAATTTTATTCGTAAATTTATAAAAATTAATAAATTATAAAAGAAGTAATCTGAAAGAAAAAATTGTATTATGTCCAGAAAATCTTGTTTAGTTTATTCAAATTTTCTTGTTAGACATTTTTATAAAATTATGAATAAAATAATTGTTTTTATATTGTACTTGTTTTTTTTATATATTCTTATAAATTTTATTTTTTTTATACATTTCTGAATGAAAAGATTTTTCAAATTTATTTATTTATAAAACGGTAAATCTTTAAGGTAAAAAAAAATAATAAACGTCGCATTGTATTTGGTTTAAATTTGAGATTGTATTTCGGAAGAACGTCTTTGATGACCAGTAGCAAGAGCATTAATATTTTAGTTGTAAGTCACCACGATTTATTTATTCACTAGGGAGGCCTGTCAAGCTACACAGGAATATCGACCACTTTGGAGACTCTGAATCACACGGTTGACTTTTAATTAAAAAGTTTGAAAGTTTAAAATGTGTATTATTAATTCAGCTGGTTTTACAATTAAAAAAAAGAATATAAAGAAACTGGTTTATGATAGATTTAAAGAAAATAATTTTAACATTCTGATTTCAACTTCTAGCAGATTATAATTAATTTGCTAAAAAAAAAAAAAAATAAATGTCATATTATGTACACACCTGGTAATTTACGAGTAATTAACCTTGAATTATGGAAACTCAATATCTTTCTGGTAGAGGGCGCAGCAAGCAAACGGAACTGTTTTATGGGGTTACATTTATCTGTTTACACCGATAAATTCCAATTTGCAGGCGTGTTGTTTCTTACATCGTCATTGATTTATCTATTTTAACAACAACAACAACAAAAAAATGTCTGACTTTTTCGAAGCCACAGATTCAGGCCCAGGATTTGTGGGTATCAAATTCTGCAAAGAATGTAACAACATGTTGTATCCAAAAGAAGACAAAGAAAATAAGATGTTATTGTACGCGTGTCGAAATTGTCAATACCAAGAAGTGGCCGATAATACGTGCATCTATGTCAACAGGATTACGGCAGAAGTGGATGAATTTACCCAAATTATTGGTGATGTAATCGCAGATCCGACGCTTCCTAGAACAGAGGATCATCCCTGTCCCAAATGTGGCCACAGACAAGCCGTATTTTTCCAGTCGCACAGCACGAAAGCAGAAGAAGGAATGAAACTTTATTATGTCTGCACTAACCAGCAATGCGTGCACAAGTGGACCGAATGAAGTCCGTATTTTTACCTTTACTTTTGTCGACTAGAAGATTGCTGTTACTTCTAGTCAATTATTCTGTGGATTTCATCGTTCATTTTTCAAACTTGATGATGTTATATATTGTTTGTTCGGAGTTCATCTTGGATCATTGCGATGAGTCCATTGTTCACTGATGGTTCGGACTCCTCTTCAAACTCATACTTGTTCACAGAAATAACGAACACTTTTTGGTATACAAAAAAAGAAGCGGCTGCAGAAGAGTCGAGAAATTATTACTTTTTTATTTTTATATATTTGAACAATAAACATGCAATCAAAGAATTTCTGTTTGAACCTTTTTTACTCGGTCTAAAAGCCAATAAATGAATGAATTTTACTTTTAAATTTAAACTCACCCCTATCTTTCAAAATAATATATATTTTTTGCATCTCTCTATCGATTAAGCCGAAGCGTATATACCTTCATGAGATTGCTAAAAAAAAAAAAGAAGCATGAAAAAGACGCCAAACTTGACGAAAACAAAATTTTATCGTCTGTTTGTTATTTTTAAGAGGAAAGACCAAAGTTTTTTTTTTTTTAATTATTTCTTAAAATTTTTCCTGCTTTTTAGAACATTCTAAATTTTGATGGAAAAAACCTTGTTTCTCTTTGTATTACCCGTACCGGAACTAGTAAAATAATAACATATACAATTTTTAGCGCGAAATTTTTTTCTGAAAGCAAAAGTTTTTTTTCGATGAAAAATGAATTTTTAATACAATTATTTGTTATTTCTTTAATTATGATAGATATTTACATTTAATTTGATAAAATTAGTTAAAAGCCGCATTCAGTTTCGTAAATGCCCTTATGAGATAGATCTTTTTTTAGCGCGTTGTAAATTGTATCATTTTGACTAATCAGAAGACCCGCAGTAATTAAATGTAATTTTGTGTTTATAATCGGGCTGTAATTATAAAGTACGGAAAACCAACCAGGATACAATTAAGTTGCATTATTTGAGTTAAGCATTGTTCTCCACTGTTAAGGCCTTTACTTTTGCAAAACACATGTGGAGAATTTAATTTGATTTTTCAATTTCAACTGAGTAGGGTACCTACAAGTACCAGTATCATCTTATGAAATTTATATGATCCTATTTTTATGTTATGATATTTTTCCATAAATGAAATATCAAAATTAATAATAAAATGAATGGAAATACAAATAACCCAGTAAAATGTAGTAAATATACATAAAATGATAGTATTTTATGTATACTTCTGATAAAATTTCATAAGATACCTTTCTTATGAAATTTAATCTCACTCTTAACAGTCTTATTTTAATTTCTTTATAATATATTTTCCATAAAGCATCGTAAACGTAAAGGTGAAAGCTAAGTACAAAAAACAAAAAGAAAAAATTAGAGTGCTGAAAGTTTTCCTTAAAAATAATGAGGTATATAATTTGTTCAGTTAAATGTAAATAATTTCATTTCTCTCCTTGTGTAGTATAAATTATCCTCATGCAATCCGCCAATACGTTATTCAGCACCTTTCAAGTGACACAAAATGTTATGACCTGCTTTGTTTTATTTTCAAATTACATCTTTAGGCACAGAAGCTAAGTTAAGCTTGGTTCAAAATATTTTAAACTAACGTAATTTCTAACTTTCTTAAAATAAGTTTTGAAAAAATGATATTGATTTTTAAAAGAATTTCAAACTGAGATTTTCATTTTTTTTTTTTTTTTTTTTTAAATGGAAAAGAAATGGTTGAAATGATTATCTGTCAATTTTTCTGACTCAAAAAAAAAGATTTTAATGAAAATTTTGGATGTGCTAGGAAGGATTAAAAAATGTAAAAAAATACCCCAAAATACTTTGATTTTTCCTCTTAATAATAACAAACATTTACATGATAAAGTTTTGTTTTCACCAAGTTTGGCATCTTTTTCGTCATGCTATGCTCTTTTTTTTAGCGATCTCAGGAGGTACCTAATTAAGCATTGTTTACAGATCATGAATAGATACAGGATTTTATTTTTCTAAGTTTTAAAGAGAGGGTTTCAGCTTTTCTGCAAATTCATTTTTTTTAAAACATGATCTGTAGATGGATCAATGTATAATGAATTTATATTGCAAACTGAATCCAACTTTGAAAATTTAGGAAATTTGAAAAAAAAAAGATAAAATTGATATTGGGAATCTAGGGTGCTCATTCAATATCGGTAGGAATGTCCCAAAAGAAAAGAAAAAGGACTATTTGTTGGAGAGGTCACTTGCATACATTTGCTACGGAAAGCTAAATGTGGAACTGATCTTTCTTGTGTAAATTTGCATGAGAACTATTTACATAGACACGCTTATTTTGCGCAATGATACCTACACTGATAGCTATTCTGCAGCGAATGTATGCAAACAATGCCAATAATGGCTGCCCGCAAAGCGAATGAATCCGAAATTTCACTGTTGATAACTCTAAAATGGTAGATTTTATCAAATTTATCAAGCTAGATTCGAATGGAGGATATACAATTACACATAAATGTAAGTATTTTGGTAATTTTTAATGCAAACTGAGCACGGGTGTTACACTACAAATTAACCAATTTTCCTTAAGAATTGACTATAGTAATTTTTTTATTGATTTAGATTCTAAATCAATATAAGAAAGGTTTCTTGTTCTTATTGAAACAGTGTTATCACTGTCTTTTATGGAGTTATCTGAACTTAGATTTTTATTTACAAATGTCAAGTTTGAAACTATATGTCATATCTATTTGAAAACACTTTTTTAATACAGATTTCTTTTAAACAAAGAAAAACTGGGTAGATACATTTTTATGTTTTATTTTAAGAAAATATTTAAAACAAGTAATAATGTTTATTTGGTAAAATAGATTTTTTTTTGTTTTTGCAAAAAGATATATATATTTTTTTTGTTTTTGCAAAAAGGTATATATATTTAAGTAATTGTTTGTCAGGTGAAATTTATTTTTTACATTTTTCAAAAAAGACATTTTAATTAAAGAACACAAATTTACATGAATTAATAAAAGTATAATAAAATATGTGGATATCAGGGACGTAAGCACAGTTTCAAACTTGATATTTATATATATAACTCTGTAAAAGTCATTGATCAATTTGAGACGGTATGAGAGCACATTTTCTTTTTTCTTGAGTATGCAGGTCAATATACTAAATAAATCTGTTTAAAATAAATGGAGTGTCTGTTTCAAAGATGGGTATCCACTTAACATTTGCAGTTTTAAAAATGACAGTGATGTGCAGAGGTTTGGTGATGCCCAGTGCCAACCACTTGATTGTATGCCACTAAGACTCAAGTAGGGGTTGGAGCTTGCTTATCAACACAGATCTACATTCATATCATCTTGTGGAACTGTAGGATGCTTCTACAACAAAGTTAAAAGAGACAATTTCAAATTTCAAAAACTAAATTTTTATTTCACTCTTTGATTGGATGCCCAGGGCTGTCATACCTTTTGCACCCACTTCTGCAATGAAAAACAGTGTTTTTCCCTCTCTTGTTTTTAAATGCCACCCACACCCCTAGTTTACTGTTGGCACAAACAAATTCTATGATTTTAAAATGTTGTGCCTTTAATTGGACATAAAATAAATGTAAACAATTTATTATTTTACTTATAAAGATAGATTTTTATTAATGTGAATAAAAAGAAATGATAACAAGTATTGTTTCCACCTCAAAATTAATGGTTAGGTTCCTCAAATGACCTATCAATAGTCATAATGATGTTACCCTGTTGTTTGTAGATACACAATGACAGATGAGAATTAATTTTGAGACGGTTTATTTAATAGCATTAAAGAATGAACTTACTGAAGAGAATGTTCCTATGTCTGCATGCCACATGTTCATTTGATACAAAAGTCTAAGCTGATAGTCTTCAGGTCCGAGTGCATAGAATGCATCCTGGTAGCATATTGAAGCATCCTTACATTTTTAAATCAAAAAAGAAATGTCATCAAAATTGGCAGCACTGTCTGTTGTTCTTTCCTTATTTTACTTTACTGATAGTGACAAATTTGTTTAACACCTGACTCATACCTTAAAACATATCCTGTCATAAAATTTTGCTTCCCTCCATGACTCCAAACATTCTCCTAAGAGGTGGCATACATAATAATCACTTTTCAATGCATTTTCATAGTAAAATCCCTTTCCAGTGCATTTTCATAGTAAAATCCCTTTCCAGTGCATTTTCATAGTAAAATCATTTCCAATGCATTTTCATATTAAAATCACTTAAAATGCATTTTTATAGTAAAATCTCTTTACAATGCATTTTCATATTAAAATCGTTTTCCAATGCATTTTTATAGTGAAATTACTTTCCAATGTATTTTATTATGGAATTGGTTAATCAGACTAGTCTCATTGACCATACCAAAATCTCCTACTGAAATAGTGTTTTTGTTTTTTGTAGTTTTTTTTTTCAAGAGAAAAGAAAATGCAATTTGATTTTTTTTTTCTTTTTTTGAGTTTTGTTCTTTAAATTATATTTGCTTTTTTTTAACTATTACTTTTTTTTTTATGTGAACATATAAAAAAAAATATTTTTTGTTTTAATAGATGCAGTTTTGGTTGGGAATCATCTGACTATGTTGCAATTTTTCTCAGGCCTGTTGAGATCAAGTTTCCTCTTCAGGCCCCCAAAATGTCTCACACTGCCTCATCAACTTCATCTCAAGAGGCTGAAAACAAGATTAAAAATCCAGGTAAAATGTTTTATTGTTGAAATTGTTGAAAAAAAAAAAAAAAAGAAAAAATCATTCACAAAGAATTTTTATTGACCTTTAAACAAATTTGCATGCATATATCTATATAATAACTGTTAATTCTTTACAGAAGTAGCCCATCTCTTCAATGTTAAACTGAGTGGCCAAGGGCTTGCAGATAGCCTTACAAACTAGCCTCACTCATGCATATCTTTTTTATATGTGTGACACATAAAAGACTTTTGAAGAGTCTGCCTCAGACCTGAAAATTAAATCACAAAACTGACATAATTTTTAAAGTGTTTTTCTTTTTTTAATTTTGCAGAAATATTTTTAGGTCTGTCATTGAATCAAAATATATTTGCACAATTGTACATAGAACACAGACAAATTGAGTAAAACTGAAATGGACATCTATGTCCTGAAGGCTAATTTAACTTTCTGTCTGGCAACAACCCTTGGTTATCAGGAAAAGTATAAACTGAAATGTGCATTCATTTGAAGTTATTTTTATAACTTCTGTATTTAAAATGAATATATTCTCTAAAGAATATAGTATTCTAAATGGACAAACAATTTAGATTTTAAATTTCATCATCTTTCTATCAGTGAAGTGATGGATAACAAAATAGTAATAACAATGAAACAGACAGTAGAAAGAAAGGGATAACATATGAATATGTGATAACTGTCACTTTTTACAGAAGGCGGCCATCTCTTCAGCACTGAATGGAACGACCATGGGCTCACATATGACTTTGCAAACCAGTCTCACTCCTACATAACATTTTATATATGTGACACACAAAAGACTTTTAGAGAGTCTTGAAAGTGACTTACTCTCATGTGCTGCTTCAGTGTGGCATCAGACTCTCAGATTTTATCACAAAACTGATATAAGTACCGTGCAGGTCTGTTGGGTAGGAAATTCACATTGTCAGCATTAGACTGCTGATTTCTTAGAAATCTGACACAAGATAGAAAAACTTTCCGGCAGAGGTTACATAGAAGTTCAAGCTCAGACTGATTTTCTTCTGGGATTGAGTCTACATCACCTTTCCTAAGAGTTCTTTTCAACTTTAAATGCTCAACCTTTGTGACATCAAAATGATTGCAGCCATCAAAAACTAACTTTCTCCAATCTCTGTCTCTTCTTCCCAGTCTCTCACACTAATTTCAAGAGTTTTCAGGTTGTCTTTAAAAACATCCTTGAAATGTTTCTTGGGTTTGTGTCTGGGGTGCTTACCAAGACTGAGCTCTCCATTAGACAGGCATAAATTAAACCTACAGAGTGTGATGAATAAATTGTCATCTAAATTACACAAAAATGAAAATAATACTGGCGTCTCATTTTAACAGATATATTTACCAAATTTATACAAAAATATCATGAAATACTAAAGAGAATGTCCAAACTATCTAACCAAGCCTGTTTTAATATATATGTACACACACACACACATATATATAATAAAAAGGCTTAAACACTAATATTCTATGGACACAATTTATTCCATTGGAATCGTAAATACTTACTCTGTCCTGGACATTGAGTTCTACCTGGATTCTTCCTCTTGGAATTTTTATTCAAAAAATATACATGTATGGGTATTTATATATTTTGCATATGTATGTATATTTACCACTAATATTATATATATATATATATATATATATATATATATATATATATATATAGTTATGAAGAACTTGGTAATCTGTATGGGTAATCCCAAGGAGAATGAAATCTTGAGAGCTCAATGTAAATCCAGAGCTAATATTTTAAAGAAAAACAGACCACTTTAAGGTACCATTATAATAATTTATTTCACCAGAGCCCTTTTAAAGGACGCCGGATCATCAGATAGCACTTCCAAAAATGAAATGGAAAATGAAATTAAAATTGATGGGTAGTGCAATTTTAATTTCATTTTTTGTTTCATTTCATTTTTGGAAGTGTTTTTCTTTTTATATATACACACACACATACACATATATATCATCCAATCCGTAAGTGGTAAGGATAATCCAAATAGGTCTTTTTAATATAAAATATTAATAAGATAGATCCATGAAGAGAGCTCAATGTATCAAAATATGGAGCAATATGATAGACATCAAAGGAAAAACTCAATACATCATTAAAGAGTTTGGTAAACATTTATTTCAGACAGACAACTGTCTCACCCGACCGGAATTATAAAACCATTTCATAAGTCCAGTCTGATGAGGCACTTGTCTGTCTGAAATAAATGATTACTGAACTCTTTAATGTTGTATTGAGCTTTTCCTTTGACACAAACAAACACACACACACACACACACACACACACACATATATATGTGTGTGCGTGTGTATTTAGGCACCATATTTTCATTCAAACGAGTTTTGTTAAATAATTCAGACATATTATGCCTATTTATTTTGGTTTCAATCCTTTTAAGTCCATGAATCAATTTCTTGGTAGCTGTGGAAAAATATGAAAAGTTTTTTACAAATAATTTTTATTTTCCACAAATACTTGCAATCTCATCTAAGACCATCTTCCGGGGGTTAAATTATCTGTGTATGTGTATACGTATTTCTGTAAATTCAAGACATTTTTAAGTGTTTGTTTTACTGCTTTATGCAGTGTTCTAGATTTCAGATTCAAAATTTTTTTCTGTTTTTCTCTTCCACAATGTAAGGAAGGTAACTTTTGTATTTTATTATTATTCTTATATATAAACAACACTTTCCTGTCATTTATTCAATATATGAGGATCAATTCCTAGAAACTGGCAGTTGCAAATATGATTTGATTTTAGTGGTGAAGGCTTTGTGCAGAACCAACCACACTTTTTGAAGAGCCAAATACAGAGACCTGGTGCACTACGTGCTACAAGGTCCCCAAACAACTCTCTGCAGGTTTTGAATTCAGAGTTGTCCTTCTAGTCCAGTTGCCTTCCAAGGCTATAGAACCCAGTCTGTCTTGCTATTTACCCATAGCTGGTGGGAGAAGAGGATTAATTTCCCAAGGGTATTAGCACATTAGTGAATGTAATTTATCAAACTAGAATTTGAACTCAGCTCTCCGATTCCTCAATTTGAGCTGTGCTATCCATTACTCCACTGTACCTCCAATACATAGATATATATATATATTATTTTATATGCGCAGTACATGTTGGAAAGTGCTCAATATCAGTGATAGAACTAACATATTCAGTTGTAAGAGTTTGTGACCCTTGGTTTCATGCTTTTGTGATCATTAGACAAACTGGTTTATTTTTAAAAAATTGAATCTATTTATTCTTGTTTGTGTTTCATTATGTTTGGTGGTGGGAGGGAGAAATTCTCTTCTGTGTTTGTTTGGGATGATACTCTCACATATACAGACACACATACATGCAGCTGTACGCATTTTAGGTCACACAAACACACCTATATAAACTATCTGAGATTAGGTGCAGATACACATCCAGGCGTTTGAACATATATACATAATGCAACTGTAATTCTATTTCGGTGTTGAGATTATGTAGCGATGTTCTTTCAACAACTGGCAGGTGGGGGTGTTCTTGACTCTTCAGGTCGGCTGTCTGTCTGCGTTATCAGATAAAACTTACACTTCCTCACACACACATACCCACATGTAGACGTGCACATACACTCCTACTGGTCTGGGTCTTTCATCACCACTTTGGTTAAGTGGGTTCTGTTTGTGGACATGGTGATGATGATGATGATATTTTGTATTTTCAACGCTGTCTACTTGTGTATTATTAATGATTGTCACTGTGTTGATAGTGCTAATAATTGATATTATAATGTTAATAATAGTTGTTAATGTGTTAGTGGTAAATTTAGCCCTAATGATGATGGAAACGAAAATATAATGGTAAAAAAACGTGACAGTAATGACAATAGTTGTGGTGTAATCGAAAGCATTTCTGACAGCATTGACAAGGTTCTCTCTCTCCATCTATTTGCTCACATATTCGTGTTTGCTGATTTTAATGCCCATCATACCAAGTGGCTTAAAAATGCTACTACTGACCTTGCAGGCATTCAAACCCTTAATTTTTCAATTTCCCAATCCCTCACACAGATAGTTGACTTCCCAACACATTTTCCCTACAACCGGGACAGTAAGGCTTCTCTCCTCAATCTATATTTTACCTCCATACTTGAGTCCCTTAGTGCCACACAGCTCTGCCCTCTTGGCAACTCCGATCATGCTGTAGTGTCTGTCAACATCTCCTTCAACTCCACCCCCTGCAAAGAAACTTCTACCACTAGCACCTTGTTCTGCTATCAACAAGCAGACTGTGACTTGTTCCAGGATTTCCTACATGACGTCCCCTGGGATATTGTCTTTATGCTCAAGAATGTGCTTCTGAGGTCTCCTCCTGGGTTAAAGCTGGAATTGAGGCTTTCATCCCCTCAAGGAAATATAAGGTCAAATCACACTCCTCCCCTTGGTTCTCCGCTGCTTGCTCAACTGCCATTGCCTATAGGAATCACTTCTTCCACCTATATTGTAGTGACATGTCTGACTGCAATAGATGTCTCTTTGTCTCTGCTCATAATGAGTGTAAGGGTGTCCTCAATGAAGCAAAGTCACTATTTGCTGCTCGAATGAAAGAACATATTGCATCTCGCAAATTTGGCTCCAAGGATTATTGTTGCCTCTGCAAGAGTGTATTTGACAATAGCAAACCCTCTATACCTCCTTTGTTCAACCAGTTTGAGGTTCTGATCTCTTCTGCCGACAAGGCTGAATGCTTTGCTCAGAAATTTTTATTCAATTCAACGCTTGAAAGGAAAGATCAAAGTATTTTGGGGGTATTTTTTTACATTTTTTAATCCTTCCTAGCATGTCCAAAATTTTCGTTAAAAATCTTGTTTTTTTTTGAGTCAGAAAAATTGACAGATAATCAATCATTTCAACCATTTTTTTTTTCCATTTAAAAAAAAAAATGAAAAATCTCAGTTTGAAATTATTTAAAAATCAATA